TCCAGTGTCCATTTTGGGGCTCTAAGAGCACACATTCCACAAAATTCAGTGACAAAGAAAGAGAGTTCAAATTATGCCACTAAGCAAAAGCATTATCTTAGCAGGCTGAGAAAAGGGAGCTGTTCAGATAGGTGCTTGTTATTCTACTGAATCAACTCTTTGGCCAGTGGCAAGTTTTAATTCCTATACATGCTCTCCTGTATTAGGTTCCCACTGTTGACTGAAAGCATAGGTCTCTAGCATTGTCCCACCTTCTGATGAAAGATAAAACAAAACATAAATGTGCTTATTCTTTGAAATTACCATCCAGAAGATCCTTCTCTTCCAATGATATGGTCCAGATTATCCAGGATGTGCTAGAGATGTTGCTTTTGGCTTCGCATTTACTAGCATACATTTATTTGTATGTATTTACTCCAGACAAAGGAAGATGAGCAGAGCCAAGTTTCATCCCACATTTTTGGCTGAAAAAACAAAATAATTTAAACAAACATTCATCTTAAAGGAAAGTGAGCATGTGTTCCTTAAGTGAAATAAGACTAATGTTTTAGATCATTTCTGTGCAATACAACTACTGGCTGCTTCTCCACTAAGAGATAGTTCTTTCAGTATTATGAAGGACTTTTGGAAAAGCAGAAGACATTGTTCTTAAAACAAAGTGATTGGGTTTTTCTTCTCCTCTTCCTTTGTCTTTTTCCCTTTTCACAGGTCTTCTCACTGGCAGGATCCACATTTAGCCTCCCTTCCTCACACATTTTTGGAAGTCCTCTCAACTCTGGACTGTCAATAAATCCTCTGCTCAACCAATCTGAAAATAACCGAACAGGTACAGAAATAAAAATGTTTTATGTGAGCATGGATCTCTTTAGAAAATGGCCTTCCAAAAGTCAGGACTATTTACATGTTTACTTCTCTTTCCTACTGCTGAGAAGATCCTGAGATCTTTAGAGTTGATTAGATTTCCATATGTCAGAGCAAAGGTAATGGAGAAGAAAAGATAATTTTATTCTCTATTTATTGAGAAACAAATATTTTACAAAGGGCAAGTTCTCTGGCAACTTAGTGCAGCACAGAACAGACAAAGTGATGTTCTCCAGGTTTTTTTTTTTTAAATGCAACTCAAAACCACTACAGTTGCCAAGTATCAGAAATATGACCTGAAGCTCCTAGAAAAGTTAATCCAGCAAGCCATGCGCATGTGCCAGGAAAATGAGACATGTTACAGGGTGACAGTGGTTGCACAATTCTGCCATCTGCTGGCATGTGAGACCAACAGCATCCCTTGAAACCCGTAGAGGTAACCTAGAGTTACACAATAAAACTGTGAGTTTTATAGGAAGAAGGCTTCCATTTTAAAGCAGCATAGGCATACTAATAGTGTAAAATATTAACTGCACAAATATTGAGGATTTAGAAACTGGGGAGAGGCACATTTCTGGAGCCATATTTTGAGAGATTTGTGCAAACTTAGATTTTATAGGGATGTTGCAGACAAAATGGGATGCAGAGGTAGACATCATCAGGTACCTGCTAAGGCCCATTCCTTGACATTCACCAATAGTAGCCAGAGTCTGCTGGCCCTACTGCTCCTTTCCCTTGTTGCTTATTCAGCTGTCTTTCTGAGCACATAAGATGTGACAAGAGCATCCTTCATTTGTCTTGTGCTTTTCCTCTGACAAGGTGTACTGAATGGACCAGAGAAAAGGCAGGTGAGTGAGCACTGGGGACAGAAGCAAAGAGGAGATGACACCATTCAGGAAGGGAGCCATTGGAGGTGTCTTATGCAAGGTCTCTAATCAGAAGCAGACACAGGGTCCTGTTTGTATAAACCCTAACATCCTCCTTTAAAACTGAGGTCCAATTTTAAAAATGAATAGATAGGGAGTGTTTGACCATGCTGGCTGGAAATTATGGAAGTTGAAGTCCAATACATCTAGAGGGCACCAGATCTCTAAAGATCTCTATAGATCTTTTGCAAGAACTGGAAACTGGGAAGGGGGTACAATTGTCTCAATTGAAACAAAAAATCACTACTCCTTGTCTTTCCACTTCCAGAACCAGATTTGGAAGACTGCAATTTTGCCTGCCGAGGGTCATCACCCCAAGAAAGTCTTTCTTCCATGTAAGTTTATTTTGCCAAAAGGGTATAGGGAAGGCAATGATGGACTGTCAAGGATAGGATGAGATCAGAGAGAGGGCTGAACCACATGACAGACTAGAAAGCAGAGAAACCCAATGAGTGTACAAGTTTATGTTAAAAAACTGCTTTCCCACATTTCTTCAAACCCTAATTTAGCCATCTCTAACTTTGTGCTCTCCATATGTGTTGGACTATAACTCCTATCATCCCCAGCCACTTGGATGTTCTTGTTTCTGTGCTGTATAGACTTTCTCTAGCTAGCTTAGAGCCTTTCTCCTGTGCTAAGTTAAATGCTGTGCACCCAACCCAGAGTCAGCAAAAAGCAATAAGGGAGCACAAAGAAAAGCATCTGCTGTTCCCATTACCAACCCCTACCCTGCCTGTACTGCAGCTGTTCCAAGTCATTCTTGAATGCTGTTGTCTTGATTTGTGCATGTACCATTTGCTAGGTAAGCAAAGCAAGGTGATTCATTTTCTCCTCTGGCTTTGCTACCACCTGCTGTCAGCATGTCACCAGTCAGTAGGAAGAACATCCACCAGTTAGATTTTGGTTTTCCTCACTTGCATCTAAGCATGCTACAAATGCATTCTGGCAACCTCTTTATTCTTCCACATCCCTATGACTTTGCCCTTCTCTTGTCCTCAGCCCATGAATGAGACAGGCTAAAGTCATTCTTAGCTATTGTAAAGTAGTGTTTTCCCTCTTAAGCCAGCAGTAACCCATAACAGTGTTCAAGCTGAGTAAAGGTGATGAGTTTCATCAACCTTTTTGACTATGGCTGAATCAGGAGACTTGTAGAGATGAGATACTTTAGGCTGCTTTGGACATGCCCCTTCCCTGCAGTCCTGGGACAATACCATTTTTTCCCCCTTCCAGATTGGGAGCTTTTTGCAGCCCACCAAACTATTGATTGGCAGTTGGGGGAGCAGTATAGTAAAGCAGGAAACCCATTTCTCTCCTACTTTATCAGGCAGTCCCCCCATCCCACTGAATAGTTCACTTGTTTTGACCGCCAGCTTACAGTATTGCTCTTTCAGAACTCCACAAGGAAACTGCTCTGAAAACAAGCCTGCTTAGACAACTGATAAGCAGGGTGGCCAAACTCTCTAGCTTTACTACACAACATTCCACCTCACCTCACCAATTAGCTTTACAGGAGGTTTGTTTTGACAGTAAGTTTAGTGCTCTTTTAAAGGAATGCTAAACACACACTCAAAATAAGCCTGCTGGGTTTCACCAAAAACAGCCTGGCTGGGCTTAAGAAAATACAGATGAGTAAACCCACAGATCTAATCATCATCTCTAATCACAGCAATACTGTGATTGCCTGATGATTTTGCACCAATTGAAAACACTCATATAGTGGGAGGGCAACCAAGCCAAAGGTTTTAACTCAACGGTTTTGCTTAACATGCCATGCACAAGCAAAATCAGAACACCATTATCTGGTGGCAATCCAGAACAGATAGATAGGAATTTTATGCTGCTAATATGGATGAATGTCACTTTAACTCTGATGGTCTAATCTGGTTTTCTGTTCCTATCCCACATCCCATTTGGGCACCTCCCAAGTTAGAATATGTGAAATAAAGGAACATATGGAAAGATACCAGGATATCCTATATAGAGGAGGGAGCAGACCCTGACGTGATTGTGCAATTAGGTACGTCTGTAAAGTGGGAGAAGTGAAACGGACTAACTGCTGGGTAGACACCTCTCATTTCATGAAGTTGCTAAGTAAAAGTGGTAAATACAGGAAAACGGCAATTATGCCTCCTCTTCATCATCACATGACCTCTCCTCTCCTCTCCTCTCCTCTCCTCTCCTCATTGGAAGCCTGGAGAGAAGTTGAAGTCAAAACAGAAAATAGGATGGGGAAAGGGATGGGTATGAAAGGAACTCAGGAAACAAAATGCTGATAGAGAAAGCAAAGGCTCAGAGATAAATAAATGGCTGAGGTAGAGTAGGTAGGGTGAGTGCCTGTGCCTCTCAACACTCCAAAATCACTACTGGTCACTTGACTTTGCTGGCAAAATAATAGATTATGAAGAGTAACAAATTCTTTTAGGCTATCATTGAATGCCATTGGAATAAGGAGTGGGGGCGGAATTATTACTGACCAGTTATAAGATCAGGGCAGTTAACAAATATAGGAAGCAAATAAATAAATACTGGTACAATTACTGACAACAAGGAGGAAAATACTACCATCACCCAGTCATAAGATTGGGGTAATTAAAAAACACAGCTAACTTAAGCATGTCTCATTCATCAGTTGCAGATAAGGTAACAGGGACAAAGGAGGAAATTGGTATGGTCAGATCATACTTTCATCATTGTTAAGTGCTGGGTTTGGTGGAACAGGGCCACAGGGATGTGAACTACTAGCATGCTCAAAGGTTTTGTAGCTTATTTACCAGGCTATGTTCACATTGCTTTCTGTATACCCAATATACAGTAAGTAAGTAAGTAAGAACAGTAAGGTTGGGGAGAATATACATCTGAATCTTTAGGGGAACCCTGGATTATCTGCAGTAGAACAGGAAATATTTCTAATTCTTAGTTGTTTGAAATAGCAAATGCTTGATAAGTGCCTCACTCCTATCTTGAAGCATGCTGCTAGAATGAAAAATGTTTAGGGTAATCAGAGGTGGGTTTTTCTTGGGAACTTCAGTTCAGTTCTGGTACTCTTTGGTTTAAAACTCTTTGCATCTAAAAGTTTGTCTTTTGTACCAGGCTCCATTTGGTTTTAGCTAAATCCAAAATGGATCCTGTTGCCTTAGAAAATATGTACTTTTCCTGAAAGGTGTCTTGTAGTTTCATTGTTCTTGAAGTCTTGGGTGTAGGTGTTTCTATCTTCTTTTCTGTGTCACACATGCAAACACACACATACTTCTTGTGGAGGAAGGGAGTGTCAGCTAAATTCATCTTGGTTTGCTGCTTATATAAACATCTGTAGCTGCAATTATCTATATAACTTCTGTAACCAGAAAATTTGCTGTTGGAAAAGAATGCAGCATCTAGAGAATCATAGATATCAATTAAAAGAAGAGATCAAATTTGTAGCCTTATAAGCTGAGATAACTTGAAGTCAAGCAGGCAGGCAGCCTCAGATACTCAATAATTGAGGAATAATTGAAGAATAGGAGACAGGGATGGTTTTTTCCTATGGATGACAATAACAGAATACCTGTTAAATCCTTACAGAATCTGCATTGTGTACTTGATCTACAGAATTTAGTTTTTCTGTATCTCTGTCTTGGAGCCAACTTTTGTGGCCTTCCAAGCATAAAGCAGCTAGGGCTAAAAGCTATTATGGAAGCAAGAGGGATGTTGATTTTTAATGGTGCTTTGTCCTGCACCATAACAGGTCTCCCATCAGCAGCCTCCCCACTCTCTTTGACCAGACGGTATCAACTAGCAGTGGACAGCTGGAAAATGTCCCCCAGGCCACACCAAACATCGAGCAGCTCCTGGAGAAACAGGGCAATGGAGAAGCCGGTGTCAATAGTGAGTTGTGGGAAATTGTTTGAAAGTGGCCGATGGGTTAAGGCAAGGATGTGCAATGTTATTGGCCTGTGGCCATGTTTTTTAAATTGCCTTTGAGGGCTGCAAAGTCATGGCAGATCAATTTAAGAGTGTCACTGGATTGAGCAGAACCAGGATTTTCTGCCCTTTGGGGGAGAGTTTCAGAGGTTTTGCAGAGACAAGGCATTCATCTTGCCTCCCCAAACTCCATCTAGACAGAAGAAATAGGCCTAATGTTAGGGAGTCTTGGAGGGGTTAGGGGGTGAATTAGGTATGCTAAAACTCTGCAGAGCTGAAGGCCACAGTCCCACCAACCCATGAAAACAACAGACTGAAAAGTTGGATCCTGCTTATTCCAGGGATGCCCTGGGTTCTGCAGAAGGGATACTGGAAGGCTGCTCTCAGCCTGCAGACCATGGCTGTGTCCTTGTGGCTTAAGACTGAGGTGACCAAAGTGGGGGAAACCCTTTATCAATTAAGCTTCTTCCCTCCCTTCATCTCTGCAGTGGGTGGCCTTCTCCCACCCCCACCCCCCATGACTGTACCATCCCAAGATAGAGGAAAATGGTAACTTGATGCAATCCAGGAACAGGCAGATGTGTCCTTAAAGAGAAGAGTTTAAGCTCATTCTCCCAAATATTAATGTGAATGCTAATGGGCTAAGACCCCTGTCCAGTCCTTTCTGCCATTTGGAGATGTTTTCTGCCAATCACAGGAGGAGACTCAGTGCCTAGTTTTACTACAGTTCCCATCATGTTTGACCATTATGCATGCTAGGTGGAGATCTGGGATTTATAGTTTAATCACAATGAGAGATTTGAGGTTGGGAGCCAGTAGGTCAAAGTGGGGGACTTAGACTGGGGAGATGACTTCAAATCAGCACGTCCTTGGGATAAATTGTAGATGCTTTTCTCTAAATCCTTTTTTTAACCCAGAGCTATATTTTTTCCAGTGGAAATTTTTTGACTCTGAATAAAAAATCCACACCATTAATCAGCATCATACTTTTTTCCAGATGGCAGTATATACACCTTTTGGCCATGTGTTCAATCAATACATGAAAGAGGGGTGGAATTGTAGCCCTGGCTCTGCCCATGTTCTCCATCTCTATAGTGGTCCTGTCTCTCTGATCTTCTTCTCTACATAGAGTAGAACCTATATGCAGCTGTTTTTTCTTTCCACCAAAGATGTAGAGATTGCTACCAGCTCAGCAGGTGCAGTTCTGCTGAGTCCACCACATGTTGACCAAACCCATAGATGGAATATAAGGAAGGGTTTATACTGCCTTTCCCAGCCTAGAACTCTCCAGTTATACTGAGCTACTCCCTAAATTCCTAATCATTGTGGCCAAAGTAGGCTGTGCAGAGCTGGAATAAACCGTAGAAATTGAGATATACCTAATGTGCAACTCTTTGGACACTGTTCAATTAGTATGATTATGGTTTTTCAGACTTTTAATTTTATTTTTCCCTTAAATGTAAACACTGCACAGACCAGTCCATACTGTCAGATTAATAGACTGCAAAACATTTGTAAGTATCCCAGTAAAATGTAATTTTGAAGTAAAGCTTTACATTTGTTTGGATTTAACATTACTGAAACGTGTTTGTTTGTTTATTAAATTTATATGCTGCCCACCTCCCCCAGAAGGTGACTTCATTGTTGTGCTTTATTGGATGTTTTTCTCCTAAATTCTAGCAATTGGAAAACTTTGGGATAATTACATAGCAGATATAATTAACGCGATGCTATCTTTAAATTTTGTTTACCAAAAAGAAGCCAAAAGAACATGCCCTGGCATGACAGGGTGATTGAAACCCCGTTCTTTTTTACCTGCCAGTTTGAGGGCAATGCTCATTACTGCAGATTTTTTATTTTATATATCAAATTTGTCATTAGATGCCCTGCCCGTGACTATCTGATGACTGTAAGTGTTCTTGTAGCTCTCCTTCCCATTTCATATGTATTTTAATAGTGTCAACACTGTTATCCTTCCATTCCTTTCCATTCCCAACCTTCTCTCCTTTCCTTATCCCCCTTTCTACTTCCTGTAGTCGTAGAGATGCTCAAGGCACTTCATTCACTACAGAAAGAAAATCAGCGCCTTCAGGAGCAGATCATGACTTTGGCAGCTAAAAAGGAGCGCCTGCAGCTTCTGAATGTTCAGCTCTCTGTTCCCTTCCAAGTGGTGACCACCAGCAATGGCCCCTCAGGCCAGGCCCAATACATCCTAGCTCCCAACAGTAAGCAAATCTAACTGTAGTGGCGTTTGATTCCTAAAAGGGGCCTCTCTAACGAGGCGTCACTGTTAATATCTGACTAACATCAGACAAAACCTTCTGAGCACTTAGGGATGGTTGATGCTGGATCCTTTTTTAAATGTACTTTTGCTGTATATTCTTTCTAATGGGTTTAGTTTTAGGGTTGTTTCTATGATTGCAATGTTTTGTGAATTTTATCATCTTCTGTTCTGGGCTGCTTTGCAGCTCAGGAAACTACAATAGATCATTGGCAAATACACTTTAACAAATGAAAAATAAAACACGGTCCACCCAGAGCCCACCCAGAAATAATATAGTGTGGCCAAGAGAAAAGCCCTTTGAATTAGTACACTGCTAACTCATTGCTGAAAAGACATTCTGCAGATGCTCAGGGGCACAGTGGAATGTCCTTTTGATTCTTTCTCTTCCCTTCTAGCCTGCAACAGTGACTCACTGAGTATCAGCAAGAGCCCCCCATGCAAAAATAGTTTTGGTATCGAGAATGCACTGTCCACTTCCTCTGAGGTATGAAGCATCTCTTTCTTTTCTCCTCTTTATTATCACTTAGGAGACTATTGTGTTCATGCATTCTGAATGCCACTGAATGAGACTGTTCCAGGGGCAGGGAAAGCACAATGACTGGGAAGAGCGAGCAACCTGCTACTTAAATGCATGGGTGCTATATTTGTACATACCTGTCCACTTGAAATCCTGGTGCATTAGGCTCCCAGGTAATGTCCCATTGGGTTTGTCTAGCTTGAGTACTAAAATATCTTGGGCCAATTCTGGTGCCAGAGGTGTGGCCCAGCTGTCATATTTCTCTTTAGTTTTGCATCTATGTCCTGTGCCTATATGTGGCAATATTTGCTAAGCCCTGAAGTATTGGGTGCATTGTTCAAATGCCTGAGAAGTTTACCTTCTTTAAACAAGATTCTAATTCCTGTGCTGTAGCAGTGGTCTTGATAATTCACCACTGATGTTTGCTCAACTTGGAACTGTGACAAAGTTGGCTCAAAAAGAAAGTGGTTATGATAGTAAAAAGTTCAAAATAAATTCTACAAAATTATGCACTTTCCATCCCTACACTCATTCCATTCCATACAGAATTCCAGTTTTCCTGGTACAGAGTTTGGAATATCTGTTTTTTAAAATATAGAAGGCGCTGGATATGGTTCCTATTGTATCATATTGATCCTCCCTCCCTCCCTCCCTCCCTCCCTCCCTCCCTCCTTCATTCCTTTCTTTCTCTTTCCAGGATCTTCACTCAGGATGCCCAAGCAGGAGCAGCTCCTCTCTGTCCTTCCACAGCACACCTCCTCCACTCCCCTTGCTGCAGCAGAGCCCTGCCTCACTTCCTCTAACTACTGGGGTCCAACAGCAGCCACCACTACCACCAGTGAATGGTCTGAGCAGAGCCATGGGGACTGTTCATGGAGGAAGTGCCCCAGCTAGTCACAGCCTTGTGGATGGTCTCCTTGGCAGTCTGACAGGAGGGCAGCAGATCCCCATCAATGGCATTCTAGGAAGTTTAAATGGCACTGTGGCCACTCAGACCCAGAATCCAGTACTGGCACAAACCAGTGGTCCCCCCAACCTACAGCTCTCCATGAACCAAAGTAGGTAAGGTTCTTGAAGGAAGAGGGAAGACTAGAAGAAAGCAGCCAAGCATCTAGGAAGTTGATCTTTAAGGACCTGATTGCCCTAACATTTGGGGATCTGTTCTACTTCATTTTTATTTATTTCCAGTATTTTGAAATTGCCACAATGATACATTTCTAGGTGGTTTGTAAATCAAACCATAAGAACAATAAAAACCCCACATATTATAATAATGCTCAGAAAATCAGTAAATTAAAAGTAACCCACTGCTGACCGAATAAGAAACAAAGCTTGGTCTTCAAACACTTGTTGGAAAAGTTAAGTCCTTTCCAAATAGCAACCTAAAGTGGAAGTCAATCACATCTCATGAAGGGTATATTCTAGAGGGTCAGGGCAGCAGAGAGAGGCATTGCTTCCAGGCCTTAACCCGCTTTACCTCCCAAACTGAACAGACAGGCTGGCCAGACTCAAACTGGAGGGTGTGGTCACCTAGGTATCCTGGAGCTTTACCTTTGGGCTTATATGGCAAAGCTAGCATCTTGAACTGTACTTGGAATCCTATTAATACCCAGTGCTGCAGCTGTAAATAGGCGTGACATTGCAATCAGCTTGTACCCATCAGCATGTGGGCTAGTACATTTTGCACCAACTACAGTCTCCAGGTAGCCTTCAAGACAGACCCAGGTATCACGTATTATAGTAAACCAATCTGGAGGTAATGAGGGCAAGAATGTGTCACCAGAGCTTCCTGCTCCAAAAAGCATTGCAACTGTTTGATCAGCCAAAGTTGGGCAAGGGCACCCCTGGTCACAGATTCCATTTGCTGGTCTAGGTAGAGTCAGGAATCAGTAGTGTTTCCAAATGGTGGACCTGCTCCTTCAGGAACAGTGTGACCCCCTCCAATGCTGGGGGGAGCATTCAATCACCACACAGCTGCTGGACAAACAGCTTGTTGGTATTTATCCACAACTTGTTTTGTCTCATCCAGACTCTTATAGCCCCTCCAGACATTGGGTAAACAGTTCCACAACAGTTCCTGTTCAGCTCTGGATGGAGAGTAGAATGGTGTCAGCAGCATAGGGATGATACCTCACCTGTAGCTCATGGATGACCACTCTCTGCAGCTTCGTGAATATGTTAAAGAGTGAAGGGGAGAGGGCCAAGCCCTATGGCACACCATATAAAAGAGGATACAGTCTCCCTGCCCATTCATTGACCAGTACCATCCACCCAGGAGGAAGCAGAACCACTGTAAAACCACAGTCCAGGAGGGTACCATGGCCAGTGGTGTCAAAAGCAGCTGGTAAATCTAACAGGACAAAGTGAGCTGCACTAGCCAATCTGCTTAACCTTTATCTGCTATTCTTGCATGCATCACCCCATCTATTTATGTGTTGGATATTTGGGAAAGGGTGTACATGTATAAGCAAATGTATTTTTAACATGTATCCTGAACCCTGTGATCCTGGCTTCCAGTAAGGCAGAGGGAAATTAAAAGGTAGCAATAATATGAGTAGGACATGTGCTTAAATAATCCAGTCCTGATAGCATTTGGCACAGCAAGAGACCATCGCATTGTTGTTTTAATAAATCCCTCTTAAACTGAGCTTTCCAAGTCTCCAACTTCTTGATTCTGAAGTAGTAGAGCTCGTGCTGTCTTTTCCAGCAGTGCTGCACTGCACAAACCCCCCCGTTCTTTTTGCCTGTCTTCCAGCATGCCCAGCGTGACTCATTTGTCGGAGCAGCAGAGGCAGCTGCTCAGCCAGCCTGAACTTCAGCTGCAGCAACTGCAGCAGCTCCTGACGTCACAGCCACTCAGCCCGGTAAGTGCCGTTTCATCAGCCAACTGCTGAGGAACAAATACTAGCTGAGACATCAGGGCATCATCTTGGGAACTCGAGGTATAAGGTTTTCAGAAGAAGACAGTGTTTTATCAACAGCACAAAACAAACTAGAATCAGACTGCTGTTCTTACTGCCTTTGGTCATTGGACTTTAGACAAAACCCAGTTTCCATGTTCAGTGTAAAAAGAACTTTCTTTGAAAGCCAGAGCAGAGACTTCTAATCTCCTTGCAGCTGCCAAATGATGGAGGGGAGCAGGTAATGTGAGAATTGAAACAAGAAAACATGGTTTTCTGATAAATATAAGGCTACTAGTTTTGGGCAGCAAAATTCCAGACAGGCAGTAGAGGGCAGCAAAGAGTTAAAGATTTCTGTAGTGCTCATTCAGATGTTTGCAGCCCAAATCTGGCAGCTCTTGAAAAACCAAAACTTAATCAAGTAATTGCCTACCTTGTCACCCAGGCCTTCTTTCAAGAGAAAACCATACCCTACAGCACACAAGCAGGCAAAATAGACAAAAATGGTTGTTTTCATAGAAGCACACTGCAAAAGCATCGGGTCAATTTTCCTTTAGATTTTTTTTTTTTTTTGGCTCTCCTTAAGGCAATACCATAAGGCACATGCCATAAAAACAGCAGTCTTCAGCACAGGGATTTTTGTTTTCCAGCTCTTCTGGTGTAGGATGTGAGGGAGAGCTGCTACAGTCTTTCTGCAGCTGATCATGATAATTTGGTTCTTAGGAGCAGCAGACGTTGATATTCCAGATGATTCAACAAATTCAGCACAAAAGAGAATTGCAGCGGCTCCAGATGACTGGCTCCTCCATACCTGGCCTTGGGCCAGCTACTACCACATCCCTTCTCCACTCCAGCAATAACGCACCATCGGCTGCCAACAGCACTCTCCTGGCCTCCATCTCCCCCCAACAACTTAATCCTGCCAGCTCATTGATGGCTTCCCCACCACTCAGCACCCCTGGGAACAGCCTGATGTCAGCAGCAGCAGGGTCTGTTATTCCACCTGTCCTCACAGCCCAAACCAACCCTTTCCTCAACCTGCAGGGTGACAGTAGCAGCCAGAAAGGAATGGTGAGCATCTTATAAGGAGGCCAAAAGCAAGGTATTGCCTACCAACAGTTGAGCTACTTTAATGACATAGATTATTCATAGATATTCTAACTCTGGAAAGAGGTTTTCTGGAACTGGGAGCATGTCTAGGTCTACTACTGTGTGGAGGTTATTTTCCAGGAAGTGTGGTGGGGAATCTTAAACATGGTTAAGGAACAGATTTGGATGTATGATATGAGCAGTAATTGTAGATAAAGTAGATATTGGGAAACAAAGAAGTTAAAGTTTGGAAAATATAGTGGAAAATGTTCTATAAAAGAATGGGTTAATGGACAGACAGCTGATATGGGAAGTGGCTGGATAAGGCTAAGTGGAAGAGTCTGGAAATGAAAGAAAGATTATATTTGGAAAGGTGCCTGGGATTAGAATCTCAGATGAGTGTTTCATATCTGTTTTTCTTTCTCCTTTCTTAAAAAATATTGTTTGGCATATCACCAATTTAGACAGTTCTGTTTTTGCCATTTTTTTCCTCTAGAGCATGAATGAAAAGGGAGGTGCCTCAGTGCAAGACAAAGGCTAACTTTGGTGATACCAGGCTGCTTTCTCTGCCATAGGAAAACAGTCTCTCCCTGAGCCTTGGATCTCAAAACGTAGAGCAACCACATGAAAGGCTTCCCAGAAAGTCTTCCTCGCCACAGTCACGGTGACACCAAGTGGAGGCATGCCAGAAGTCTACGTTCCTCGGTTCTGAGCCTGTCATTTAGTGCCCTTCTAAAAGAGACAGGTGGCGTGAGCACCCCTTTCCTTTGCTGGCTTTGTCTATTCTGCTGCACTTAAGTCATGAGAAGTTGCACTCCAGATGGAAAGGACAAAGCAGTCTGTTTGACATCCAAGGATATCCCCTCAAAGATGGGATATATGAGCTGGACACAGCCACAATCATCTGGTGACTAATGTTATTTTTGCAGAGCATGACATTTCCAAACCAGGGTTAAGAAATCCAACAATATTCAACTGTAGGAAGATCCAGCTACAGCAAATCAGGATCAGATGTTTTTCAAGTTTCCAGTGAATAGGAAGGTAGGGTTGGAGAAATAGTACTTGGAGATCCAGATACATGAATCCTATACCAAGAGTTTCACTCCCATAGGACTTCAGATGTCTACATCATCACTGACTCCTACTGAGGTACAGTTCAGCTGGGAATGAAAAGGTAGTCTCAGCATAACTGGGAACAATTGCCTTCGTTCTCCCAAATCTCTGCCAGCCACATGTCTTAAAAACCATTCTGAAGGAAATGGCCCCACTCTTCCATCTTTGACCAAGGGATTCATCTTTCTATCCTTCAGGAGTCTTTGCAGGCAATGTATGGTTACAAATAATCTATAGTCAATGCTGAGATATTTCCAGCCACTCACAAAGAGCTTTTGTTCTCTGTCAGATCAACCACTCAAAAGCCAACACCAAAGAGGCAAAACAAAGGCTTTGTCTAACAGCAGGAGCTATTCCATCCATCTCCAACAGCAGCTGGTAAGAACATCTTCCCTGTGAAACAGATCTAAGTCAGATCCCATCTAAGGAAAACGTTGGTCTTCCCATCACTGGAAGCCTATTTCCATCTCCATTTTATAACCAGATGTCTTAGCAAAGGCATGAATTTCCTCCTCCTTCCGGGGGAAAAAAGTGAAATGGAGATAAAAATCAGATATTCTGAGGAACCCAGCTCAGCTTTGTCTTTATTGGATAAATCCAGATCTCTTTGGGAGCAAGATTCCAGGTGATCAAAACACCTAGGAACTTTCAAAGTTTTCCTGCCTCCATGGATATACAGTCATTTTTAGGCTCAATCTTGCCACCTGTTCCAATTTGCACTATTTTCAACCATTGGTGGTGAGCAAGTGCTGATGGCCCCATAATAACCACTGTTGTTTAAAATCATATTTTTGTGTGTGTGTTTTTTCTATTTGAACAAAGCAACAGTATCTGCCACATAGGTGAGTTGGACTTTTAACAAATAAGACACTGAAGCAACTTTTCAGGAATTTTGTGTTTGGTTTATTTTATTCAAACAGATATGTTTAACTCCAAGTTTTGAGTGTGTGTGCATACATGCACGCAGTTTAAGTTTGTTTGCTTGTTTTTATGATATTGTTTAATAGCTCCTGGAAACTGACAAAAACAGTAAGTATTCCAAATGAAAACTGGGAAGTTTTCTTTCCAGTCATGGCAGCTTTGGCACAAGTTAAGGAGCAGCTAGAAGAACAACATTTGACTCCCTTCCACTTCAGCTGAGTGTAAACATAGTTTTTTAGTCAGAAAACTAGGCCAACTCAATGCACTTACTCTTTAGATAGCCAACTCACCTTTAAAATACATCCAGGCCAGTGCATTCGTTTTATTTTGTCCTTCACTAGCTTAATTAGAGTATTTCCTTGGTCCTTATTCAGCTGCCATAATACTGAATGGCTATTAGTTGTGATGGAAGTAGTTCAGAGCGGAGAACAGAAGCTACATCTAACCTTTGCTCCCCTTTTCAAGTAACTAATGGGCACTATCTCCAGAATTCTTATTGTAACCTGCAACTGCATTGCAAAAAGTAACTGTTCCATAGCACCAGCAAAATTCATAATCCATCTAGGCCTATGACTTCTGTCTCCTTATCTTGGTGCTGGGGGAAAAGATTATTTTTTCCAACTACAGCTACTAGAATTGCAAGCATGATTTTTTTAGAAAATTGTTGCCATCAATAAATGTTGTATCTGCACAACTGCACCCGTAAGGTTATAGAATGTTTAGCCAAAGGAAGGCAAGTGGATAAGCATTCAAGAGAAAATGACAGGTGTATGAGAGCAAACTGATCATTAAAATATTTTGGAAAAGAGATGAGTTCTTTAAATAAACAAAAGGGGTAAAGCATTAGCTGAGAAGGATGACATTCTATCTAAAACATCGTGGAAAAGTTTGTATCTCTGCAATGAGAGCAGAACTAGACATCACAAAAGGAAGGTTCTACTCCATATTTTCATTGGACTGTAATCATATTAGTGGATTGGGTAAAGGCATTTGAGGAAGAGAATTAACAGATGGGAAGGGGCTAGTCATGTGACATTGCACTTAGGCACATTTGCTCATTCGAGGCTTGCATTCTAAAATCTAATATTATTGTTTTCTTGCTAGCCCATAAAGCTTTTGCAGGGATATTTTTCTCCTTTAAGCCTTTTTCTGCTTGTATTTTCCCTTGCTTTGAGCCACAGGGTAGATAATCTGTGTTCCTCCAGATGTTGGTGAACTTTCATTCTTAGCAACCCTAGTCAATATGATCAACTATGGACAATGCTGGGATCTATGGTTCAGGAACATCTGAAGGACCATAGGTTGCCCACCCCTGTGTTAAGGAATGAGACAGTTCTACAAAACTGTCATTTCCTAAGATCGAGACAGTGCATCGATCATGTTTTGTGACTTTAAGCACTCAGAAAGTGGGAGGTATCTAGCCCCAGGTGAACCACCATATAAAAATTGAAAAAAAAATTATCATCATAATTACAGTCATCGTTACATTTATATATCATGTTTCCTCTGAAAGCTCAAGGTGAAATACATGGAGATCACCCTTCATTTCTCCACATAACAAATGTGTGAGGTAGATTGGACTGAGCAATAGTGATTGGTCTGAAATCGTGGAGTCCTTGGGGTTCTCTGAGCTTGGTTGTTTTCTTGCAAACATTTCGTTTGCAAAGCTAGCACTGAAGACGTTACCTAGCCAGGTAACAAAACTTTTGCAAGAAAACAACCAAGCTCAGAGAACCCCAAGGACTCCACAGCTCAACCCTTAGCTACACATATTCTCTTCTGTTGTTCTGAAATCATCCAGTGAAGTTTATGGTTCAAGGGGAACTTGAACCTGAGTCTTCCTAATCCAGTCCAACACCTGAACCATTAATCTACAATGGTTGTATGAACTGAACTGAAAAGTAATAAGGAATGGATGATTCTGCCTTTGGGCAGCAGGTGGTACTAAGGCTGAAGTGGACTTTCAATTTATGATCCTACATATCAACTTTTTCTGGTAGGCAGTTCAAAATTTTGGCTACACAGAAATTGTCTGGTTAGAGATGCGTATTCATGAAGTTTAGTTTGTCCCACCTGATCACTATAGGCCAATTTAGAGGACATAGGGAATGGCCTTGAAGGACAGGAGAAAGAGCCACTACCAAGGCAATGATCAGACAAGCACATATTGAACCCTTTCCAACAAACTAGTTTGAGTAAATGTCTTAGACAGTCCTTCCTGTGCTGGAATGGAATTATGAAGGCCAGACTCAGGGAGAAAAACGTTTTTCTCCCTGAGTCTGGCCTTCATAA